TGAATTAGAGACAGCATGTTACATTCTGAATTCTGTTCCTTCAAAATCAGTAGACAATACTCCTTATGAGTTGTCGGAAGGGCGCAAGCCTAGTTTCTCACAAATTCGAATTTGGGGTTGCCCTGCACATGTCTTAGTGCAGGAGGCTGGCAAGTTGGAGAAACGATCAGAAGTGAGACTGTTTGTCGGCTATTCCAAGGAAACGAAAGGTGGTTTGTTTTATAGTCCTGAGGATCAGAAGGTGATCGTTAGTACGAACGCTAGATTCTTTGGAAGAAGACTATATCATAGATCATAAGCCCAGTAGTAAACTTGTCCTAGAGGAGTTAGGGAGAGATATCGATAGTTCCCCACCGAGTGCACAAGTAGATACATCACATAGTACTGCAACACGTAACACTGATAGTGTGCCAGTACAGACGGTACCTCGTCGTAGTGGGAGGGTTTCTACATAACCCGACCGATGGATAGGTCTTGGAGAGTCATCAGACTCAGTTCCAGGAGACCTAGAATCGGACCCAAGAACTTATGACGAGGCACTCCAAGATAGAGATGCAAATTCGTAGAAGGTCGATGAAAGCTGAGATGGGGTCTATGGACACCAATCAGGTCTGGGATCTTGTAGAACCACCCGATGGGATATGTCCCATTTGATGCAAGTGGGTTTACAAGAGAAAGAGGAGATCGGATGTAAAGGTGGAAACCTTTAAAGCTAGGCTTGTTGCGAAAGGTTATACCCAAAAAGAGGGTATCGATTATGATGAAACCTTTTCGCCAGTAGCTATGCTTAAATCCATTCGGATTCTCTTGGCTGTAGCCACTCATATGGATTATGAAGTGTGGCAGATGGATGTTAAGACGGCTTTCCTTAACGGCAACCTTCAGGAAGACATCTATATGCAGCAACCAGAAGGATTCATTGCAAAAGGACATGAGCACTTAGTTTGTAAGCTTAATCGGTCCATTTATGACTGAAGCAAGCTTCAAGGTCTTGGAATATTCGGTTTGATGAGGTAATCCAGTCAT